GTATCGGACTGCTCGTGACGTAGATCTTCTTGATCGCGACGTAGCGGGGCTTTCTGGCGGGTTGCCTCTTGTGTGCTGGGAGAGATTTAGCCTCCTCGCGCTCGTCGATGTCCCAATCGTTGTTGTACTTGGTATATTCGAGATCCTCAGCCTTGTAGACGGTGGAGAAGGTTCCTGTGGAAAGCGTAAGTCCAGCCCGCTACCCTGCATGCTGCAAGCCAATGATGTAGGACATACCCTCTCCAATGCGGTTAATCAGTCGGAACCGCTTGCTGATTCCGACAAATGTCTCCTCGAAGCGTGCCATATCTTCCTGAACGGAATCTTCGACTTCTTCGTCGCTGCTGTCGGCAGTGCGCCCGCTTTCGTCGAGCGGGTTCATGCTTTCGTCCTGTGTCTCTTCGGCCTGGTCCTCTCCCATATCGTCTTCATGAACGTCGATTGCTTCTGCATGACGCAGTGAGGTGCGTGCCTTTGCCATGGTGCGCGTGGCTTGTGATGTTGTGTTGAACGCTGCGTGAATCTTTCTTCGCGGTATGGCGGCCGACGCGTTGGACCCTGGCTGGCTAGGCCGAAAGGGGAAGACTGATGGCAGACGCTCGGACCACCAACAAACAGCTGCAACGCGCCTTCCTGGGTCGGTGCATGTGCGACGGTTGCGGCCGCATCTTAACTTTCACGGCGCAAACACCCCACCCTAACCCTGACGCTCATTTCGTCGCTTCTTGTTTCTGATTTCTGATTTCCCCAAGCGACTCTGATCATCATGGACGCCCGGGTGGATTTTGACATCAATGAGGCGGTTAAGCTGTTCGACAGCGATCCCTCCGCGATACCCACCCCCGAGGCCCCGCGGGCGCTGCAAGACTGCGAAGATGAGCCAGAATCGCTGTCGTCGCCCGGACTGATCAACAGCGAGCTGAATCCTGTGGTCGATGCCGTGGCGGAGAGTCCAGATGCGATTACTCGCAGCTCTGTGTTTGACACGCTGCAGTTTCTCTTGAAGTGCGTCCCCGCATATCCACAGGATACAAAACAATATGACACGGAACCTAATTCTAAACTGTTCCGACTATCTAGGCACTCGTCGCAAATACCGCCAGCCATCCTCAGCAAGATCCTCGACCTCATCTCCTCGGCGCTGTCCACGCAAACCGACATCATCCACGCCGACCTCGAAGCCGAAGACCAAGATGCGATACCACACCACAAGAACCTGCTGGAGATGTATGGCTTCCTTCTCCGATGGACCATCTCTGCCGTCGAGACCAGAGCGCTTGAGAAGTCTGCCTCTGCACCAGCAGCGCGGGGGCGGGGTAAGGCCACAAAGACGAAAGCGGGAGGCGGCAAAGACGTCGTCTGGGATGCCTCAGCGCAACTAGAGACGGCTCTCGACCGCATGAGCAAGGTGCTGAGGCTCAAGCTGGGCCGAATCTTCGTTACCACCTCGGAGCGAGACACCTTCATCGGCCTCTTCACCAAGCCAGTATACCACATCCTCGAGAATGAGGCCAGAGTCAAGAGCAACGCCATACGGAGTCACTGCTTCAGGGTTCTGTGTTTTGCCGTCAAGTCTCATGGGCATGCATACAGTAGGTAGAGGAAGACTCAAAGAAGTGCCCATACTAACACCCATGACAGCCGCCCAGACGTCCATCAACCAGAGCTTGACATACTTCGAGCATCTGTCAGAGCCCATGGCCGAATTCCTCTTCACACTAGCCGACGCTTTCGACTATCCACAGCTCACAGAAGACGTCTTGAAGGACATCAGCAGCAAAGAATTTAGTTCTACCGATCTGAAGGGGCCCAAGTCCATCTCGACCTTTCTTACCAAAATCTCCGAGCTCACGCCGCATCTTGTCATTCGCCAAATGACATTGCTCGCCAACCTACTGGACAGCGAGTCATATACCCTCCGTTGCGCTCTTATTGAGGTGTGCGGAAACTTGATCATCATGCTTAGCAAGCTGAGCCAGGACGACCGCAGCGAGCAACACAAGCAACAAATTCGAATCTTCTTCGACGTCCTACAGGACCGCTTCCTGGACATCAACCCCTACTGCCGTGCTCGAGTGATGCAAGTCTATATCAAACTGTTAGATCTAGAGCAGAAATACCCCAAGCGCAGGCAGAAGGTCGCGGAACTCGCTGCACGTAGTCTGGAAGACAAGAGCAGTAATGTACGTCGTAACGCAGTCAAGCTGCTCGCGAAGCTCATCTCAACCCATCCTTTCACTACCTTTGACGGTGGATTGCTATCGACGAAGGATTGGGAACAGAGGTTAGCCGATGTCGACGCTCAGATCGACGCCTTACAGCCCCCGGAAGAGCTACGCGAGCGTGCCCCTGGTGAACAGACTGTAGACGAGACTCTACTGCAAGACGCAACTCAGGCCGATAACGATGAAGTACCCCAACATCCATCCGAGATGTCCGAGGAAGAGAGAGCTGCTGTAATTGCAAAGGCACAGAGGGACGCTGCGACCGCGCAAGAACTGGAGAAATTCCAGGCAGTACGCAAGTATCTGATGGAAGCGCTCAAGTTCATCGAAGTCCTCAACGACGCCGCTGAGGTGGTCACTCAACTGCTGTCATCCAAGAATAAGAGCGAAGTCATCGAGGCCATGGACTTCTTTGTGACCATCGACGCGTACAAGATTGCGAATGCGAAGCTCGGGATCCGGAGGATGTTGCGTCTCATCTGGACTAAGGGCAATAGCGACGAAGGCAAGGGTGTTCAGACGCATCTGTTGGAGTGCTACAAGGGCCTCTTCTTCGACGCGCCACCTGGCTTTGATGCCAATGCAGTTGCTAACTACATCTCGAAGAACATGATCAGTCTGACATTTGGCACAACCCCCGCTGAACTCACATCACTCGAGCAGCTCCTCAGCACCATGATGAAGCAGGGGCTAGTCAACGCGTTGGTTATTCAGAAGCTTTGGCAAATATATGGATACCAGAAGAAAGACATTTCCAAGAACCAGCGCCGTGGAGCAATCATCGTCCTGGGTATGCTCGCACTTTCGGCTCCACAGATCATCGTCGAGGAGATGGAAGTATGTCTGCGCATTGGTCTCGGGGAGCTCGGCCGACGCGATTTGGGTCTGGCTCGATACACCTGTATAGCTCTGCGCCGCATGAGTCCACCACCTGGAAGGCAGGCCTCGAACGACAAGCCAGTACAGACCGTCAAGCTTCCAAACGATCACGCAGTTCTTGTCAGACTGGCCGCCATCACAGAGATGCCATCCGATAGCAAGGAATGGTTTGGCGTTGCAGAACAAGCCATCAGTGCTATATACGTCCTCTCGAAACATCCTGACGTTTTGTGCTCCGAGATCATTCGCAAAGTTACGAAGCGTGTGTTTGCGGGACAAACCAAAGCTGAGTCACGGCCGACGTCGAGTTCCAGTGCTGCAGAACCAATGGAGGTCGATCAGGGAGATGAGGAGATGCCCGACGCGCCTGCAGCTGAGGAACCACAACAGAAAAAGCAGAACTCGGCGCTTGCATTATCGCAACTGCTTTTTGTTGTCGGACACATTGCCATTAAACAAATCGTTCATTTGGAGCTTTGTGAGCTTGAATTCAAGCGTCGCAAGGCTGAGAAGGACAAGATGGCACCAACACCTCGAAAATCCATGTCTTCGTCGGGACCCACACCACTCAAGAAGGGGCGGAAGCGGGGTTCGACCAAAGAACCAACGCCAGCGCCTGAAGAAGACGATCTAGAGCTCATGGCGGGAACGAACGAAGATGACTTCACAGAAGCTATTGCACACGTTCGTGAACGCGAACTGCTCTATGGTCCACAATCCCTCCTCGCAAACTTCGGCCCCCTCGTAGCAGACATTTGCGCCAACAACACGTCGTATAACCACCCGACGCTACAAGCACAAGCTGCACTGTGCTTAGCTAAGCTCATGTGTGTCAGCTCAGAGTACTGTGAGACGAACCTCGGTCTGTTGCTCACCATCCTCGAACGAAGCCAGGACGCTGTTGTGCGCAGTAACCTTGTCGTCGCACTCGGCGACATGGCTGTATGCTTCAACCATCTCATCGACGAGAACACCGACTTCCTCTACCGCCGTCTGAACGATGGCGACCCAAGCGTCAAGCGAACATGTCTCATGACCCTAACCTTCCTGATCCTAGCCGGTCAAGTCAAGGTCAAGGGCCAGCTAGGCGAAATGGCCAAATGTCTCGAAGACAGCGACAAGAAGATTGCAGATATGGCGCGCATGTTCTTCACCGAGCTGTCCACTAAGGACAATGCCGTGTACAACCAGTTCATCGACATGTTCAGTGTACTCAGCGCGGATTCAGGACTGAGCGAGGATGCCCTGAAGAGGATCGTCAAGTTCCTGGCTGGGTTCATCGAAAAGGTACGTTTGAATGATCTAACCGTGTTGATAACCTTATACTTACTTTAATTAGGACAAACATGCCAAACAGCTAGCAGCCAAACTTGCATCCAGGCTACCGAGAGCAGAGAACGAGAGACAGTGGAACGATGTCGCGTATGCATTGAACCAGCTTCAGCACAAGGACGAGGACATTCAGAAAATGGTCTCGGATGGTTTCAAAGTTGTGCAAGCGAATGCTTAAGCTGCGTCTTCGTCTTTACCCTTTCTTGTCGTGTCGAATTGTTTATGACTGTATGAAAGCGATGATACCCTGGGTTGGGTTGCATTGGATCCGGGGCGGCAGATAAGCTTTGGCGTTTGGACTCACATAGGATATTTATGCAAGTTTTATATCACCGCAACGACGATAAAGTAACACATAAAGCGTATTGTTTGAATCCATGCGACACACTCTACACTACTACTAATCCATCTCGTGCACCAAGAACGCCCGTAGATGCTGCTAAAAGCCAACTTTTGGACCGACATCATAAAAACCAAAGTTACGCCGATGAAAATGCGTAAAACAAACGTCCTCTCGTGTCGTTGATCCCTTCTCATCCCAGCAATTGTACTTCCTCCTTTCCTTTATGGACCAACATTGAACTTCAGCCTCACACCCATACTAGCAAGCTCAATGTCCAAAAACTTGAGCACACCAGGTACCGCCACCACAGCGACGTCCTCACCACCACTATACCGCATCCCTTGGGCATCCATCCACAAATCCGCTTTGCTGCTATTCGCATCCGCCAAGACAGCACACCTCCTGCAGCGGATCGTGAGATCCTTGCCGCTCCGATCCTTCTTACGGCCGTACTCAGCGACGGTAGGTGTAGTGCTGAGGAAGGAGCCGCAAGTACGACATATGGAAGCTTTCGTGTAGTCGGAACAGTTCATCAGACGGTCTTGCAGTAGGAAGGCTGTACCGTGGGCAAGCAGGGAGTCGCGCTCCATTTCTCCGACACGGATACCACCGCCCTTGCTACGTCCTTTGATGGGTTGGCCGGTTGTGGAGACAACGGGGCCGGTGGTTCTGGCTTGGAACTTGTCGTTTACCACTGCGTCATTGTTAGTAGATGGGGGTGGGATGGTAGGGAGGGAGATGCTTACTGTGACGGAGACGTTGGTAGTAGACCACACCAATGTAGATGTCTGCGTGGAGTTCTTGACCTGTGATTCCAGAGTACATGGGCTCGTTGCCGTAGTAGTTGTATCCTGCTTTCGATAGCTGGTGCCCAAAGTAGTCGACGGCTGTGTTTTGCTCGTCGAAACGGAAGGGCGTTGAGTCTTGAGCCATGCCGTGGAGCGCACCGGATTTTCCGGCTAGCGACTCGACGAACATACCGATTGTCATACGCGAGGGGAAGGCGTGAGGGTTGATGATGACGTCGGGTTGCATGCCGCTCTCGGAGAAGGGCATGTCTGGTGTGGGGAACTTTTGACTGACGACACCCTTCTGTCCGTGACGGGAAGAGAACTTGTCACCGACGACGGGAGAACGGGGAATGCGCAGCTTGATACTGAGCTTTTGGCAGGGTTGCGTTCCGTCTTCGGCTCCAATGATGCGGACTTCTTCTACGAAGGCAAGTTCATCGTCCTTGTATTTGAAGAACTGCGTCTGGCCGTCGCGATTAACGTATTCGCCGGTAGCTGCGTCGTATGACACAATGTGCCATGCGGCAATAACGTCGCCGTGACGCAGCATAGTGCCAACACGTGGAAGACCGTCTTCGTCAAGAGTCTCTTTGGATGCGGCCTTGACCAAGCCCTCAGGGGCAAAGCCGAATAACTTGGTCACTGACCTCGCTGCTCGGCTCTTTCGGTTGCCTTCCTCGAGGTCGCAGATCTTCGTCTTGTATACGGTTCCGTGGCCAAAACCGCGCTCGTGTGAAGATTTGTTCAAGATCATAGCGTCGTCCATGTCGTATCCGGTGTAGGAGATGACAGCAACGACGGCGTTCATTCCGTTGGGAAAGTTGTCCATGCCGTATTCGTTGTGCAACGGGGCTCTCGCGATCGGAGTTTGACCGGTTTGTAGGCGGTAGGTCTTGTTGTCGGTTCGATATGCTGTAGCAGTTCCTGGTGTACCCATCGATTGTTTACCCATCTGACACTGGTACATGTTACGGGGCGATTGGTTGAAATCCGAGAAAGGCGTTTGGTTGGCGATGATACTGAAGATGTTGGTTGGGTCAAACTCAACATGCGTCGAATCGCCAGAAACGATCTCGGCATCCGTGCAGGCGATGGACATGTATGGTTGCTCAAACGGTCCTACGTAGTCGAGCTTGCCGAGAGGCAGGTACTTGACAGGTCGGTACATTCGAGAGCTTTGTGAGAAGAGATAGACACCGGGATATTGACCGCCATTGGATCCGGGAATGAAACCAATCTCCATCTCTAATGGCACGTTGTGCGAGCCTTCAACCTTCCAGTAACGGAGTGTATCGGCAATGGTCTTGGCCTGCTTGGGCGAGCAGAAGCCTAAGACACGGCCATCCAGTTGTACGACCACACTCGCTTCAAGAGAGGCGGCTGACTTGCTGGATACGCCTAGTTGCGCCACAAGGTTGGGAATCGTGGAGACATCGACGTTGGAAGTGGCAATCTTGCACTTGTGCGCGAAATGGTTGAGAAGTCCACAGGGCGATCCATCAGGAGTGTGTACAGGGCACATGAATCCCCACGCCTCAGGAAGTAACTTTCGGACAGTTGTTGTCTTCAGTTGTGCGAAGAAGGCACCTCGATGCACCATTCTGAAATGTGAAATGAAACGAGGGAAGTTGAGTTTCTCAGCGACCACGACGTATCCAGAAGTTTGCTGCAGATCCAGACCCGTTGGACTGACGAGATTACCAGTACTGAGGAAGTACTCCAGAGCTTGTCCCAGGTTCATGTTTGTTCGTCGGAGGATCTTGGAGTTCCAGTCCTTGGTAAAGTCTTGGGATGTGAAAGGCTTGTACTCGTTCTTCCTTCCCCACTCCCTCAGCACAAGTTGGAAGCTGTTGAGCCACTCTTCTAGCTTCTCTTTCAAAATCATGCCGTAGAGTTGTCCGCCTAGTAGGATCTCTTGGAATTGTACAGCATCGGGGTTGTCGACAGCGCAGTCGCCTTCGACCAAAGCGTAGAGTTTCCTGGTCATGAAGAGAAGCATCCTGAACTTGTCGGCATCCTGAGCTGGTGTGACATTGACGCAGCCTAGATGGGGTAATACTATCTTGCGGAGGAATTCCGTACCGGCCTCCTCGTCGGCGACGTCGGCGGGCAGACCAAGTACAATCTTGAACTTTCCACCCAGATATGCCCGCGTCTTCGCCTTGGTGTGTAGCCCGTAGACCTTGTATGTGCGGAGTAGCAGCTCTACTCGGTCGGTGACGAACTGCTTCTCTTCAAGACCTTCGGAACCGGCTGCACCGACCAGACCCTCGAAAATTTCGCGGTCATTCGTCTCGACCAGAGCCTTCATCACCATGACGATGGGAACCAGGTATTCTGACTTGCGCCATGAGAAACGGAAGTTGACGTTGCCGTCGCTGAGGTAGTGCAGGGCGTTCGATTGCGAGGTCTGGTCGGGTCGCATCGATCTGAGGGTGATACCGAACTGGGTGTAGCCGGCGCCACGGTTGGTGAAGGCGCCGCGCTTGATGGCCATGGGGTAGTTGCGACGGTTGACCTGGAGGAGACGAATGATCTTCTCGATGCCATTAACGATGAAGTATCCACCCAGCTCGTCGGACTCTTCTTTCGCCTTGACCAACTGCGCTGGCGACATGCCTTCCAGCTGGCAGCGGTTCGATCTCAGCATGACGGGTATGCCGCCGAGATCCACGACGTCCTCGTTCCAATCTCCGTTGTTGACCCTCCACTCCAGCCGTGCGCGCATCTTGCCGCGGTATGAAGCATGTCGTTCGCGGGCCTCGGCGGGATAGATGTTGCGGTTCTTGAGCGCGACCTTGTTCGAAGGCGGCAGGACGGGCTTGTCGAGGAAGACTTCTGATATGCGCAGGTAGAGACGGTTCCTCTGGCCTGCGTCTTCGGGGGATGCGTATGGGTCGCCATCGACAAAGATCTTGGTGCCGATGTCTTTTATGCCCTGGTCGAGTTGGCCGCCGCGGGTGAAGATGGTGTTGAACGAGTTGATGTGGGGGTCGACGGCAGCCGCGAGCATAGGGTATGCCGTCTTATCTTTGGGAGGGTTTCGGAACAGGTCATGCCGCCTGAGGGTATCAAACTGCGCATGTTAGCCTGGTATAGCAGTGTCGAGAGTGCTCTCTTGCCTTGGTCGACCATTCCTGAGGGCTGTCGGCCCGTGCGGCAGGCGCCATGATTCCGTATGCGGCTTGTACGGTGAATAGGTAATTAAGGCGCAATCTGTAGCGGCATGCGCAGTATAGTATTAAAGAATGTGAGGTCGCAAGCTGCAGCGCGACTGAAGATGCGACGCTGCGCTCGAACTTTTTTACTAGACTAGTCGGATCCATGGTTGGGCTACCCCTGCTAGCGCGCTGGCCAAAGTCACACGCCGCGGCGGCTCCATCACTCTGCTGCAGCGTGAACCACTCCGGGCTTTCCTTAGGGCGGCACAGCTCTGCTCTCTACTTCCTCACGGCATTGCCTGCGCTCTTTGCCCCCCGACGCATCGAAGGAGACGTTGTCCATTTGCCTGTTGCTGCCAATAAGACTACGGCGATCGCGCCTACTACATGCCCCGCAGCAAGGATCAAGGTTCCCAGACTTCCCTCCATCGCCCGTACATCACCACTCCTCCCGACCAGACGACAACTCCACCGAGTCAGCCCCTGCCCTGACGACGGCCATGGCGAACCTCTTCCGCCGCATCTACGACTGGCTGCTCCGCCTGTTCTGGTATGCCTACCTGTCCTTTCCTACTGACCGCAATGCCCACCTGGCTGCCTGATGCGCCATTTGATACTCGCCCAACTGCTCAGCTTCCGCCCAAGAAAAAGCAAACTCACCGGCGACGATAACATGGCGCTCCTGCTAACCTGCGATACCATCCAGGGCGACTGAGATGGACATTACCATGATCGGGTTGCAAAACGCTGGCAAGACTTCGCTGTTGAGAGTTCTGGCGGTGAGTATCTTCCTGATGCGGAAAGACCCTCCTGCGTCAACATCATCAACTTTGATGAATGCGAGCTGACCCATCCGTTCTAGGGAGGAGAGTTTACTGTCGAGTAGGTCTACATCCGTCCCGAGTTGCGCAAGCCGGCGGCGACGTTGTTTCATCCGTGTCCCGATGCTACTGCTTTGCGCAACCTCGGGCGCCATCGTTGTCGGGCCCTGCGCTGACTGGCTCTAGCTCCATTCCGACGGTTGGCTTCAATATGAAGCGTGTCCAGAAAGGTCATGTAACCTTGAAGTGGTGAGTGCCCTCCATCTTCTCCCTGGTCACGCATGTCCGGCTCTTGCAGCGCCAAGCCCAGCCTTGCGGGGTGCAGCGCAATCTACTAGCCTCGAGGCGCACCTGCTGACCAGCGGCAACAGTTGGGATCTCGGAGGCCAACCTAGGTTCCGTTCCATGTGGGAGCGGTACTGCCGCGGTGTGAACGCTATCGTGTACGTCTCCTCTCATGTGATGGTGAGGTGTCGCTTATCGTCATAGGTTCATCGTCGACTCCGCTGACAAGGAGGCTCTACCCGTCGCTGGCGAGGAACTGAAGCTCCTACTAGAGAAGCCTGCGCTCGAGGGCATTCCTCTTCTCGTCTTGGGCAACAAGTCCGACTTGCCCAACAAGCTTTCCGTCGACGAGCTGATCGAGGCGCTCGACCTCAAATCAGTGTCGCACCGGGAAGTGAGCTGCTACGGCATCAGCGCAAAGGAGGAAACCAACCTCGATGCCGTTCTCCAGTGGTTGATTGCCCGAGCCAGCAAGTGAGGTATTATGTTGTTCGTATTCGGTCGACGTAACGTGACCGCGACGGTCAGGTGCCGCTCGCAACGCATTCGACTGGGTTTGGTGTTTTCGCAACTTCACGACGCCGACGTGCCTACGTTCTTACGAATTACGGTCGTCAGCTTTACATGACATCTTTAATGATTCTTACGACTTGATGGAAGAAAAGACGGGCAGATCGCTCTGCAGGCTAGCGATGGCCATTCCAGTTCCCCAGCTCGACACATTTACTTCTTCTCATATCATTATGATGGCGACTGCCCCTTCCTCATACTGTATCATCCTCTTTGTTTCGATTTCCAGCGAAGACGTAGCGTAGCGGCTAAGAAAAGACGGAAGATTTTGGTCCAGGTATGATTGACATGTAAAGTTGCGCGCGCTCCGTCTCTTGTTCGGCTCCATGAGGAGTAACCTGAGTTGTAGTGATACAATGGTATCCTCGTCTCTGTCATGTGTCGCTCAATGCTGTCTCCGTGCTCGTGACTATCGCATGCGTCGTGTGCAGGTGCGCGGCGTCTGGTTTGGTATTGACAAATCGTTTGGACGAACGTTTGTCGAGGGTTCCAGCGCAATTGCGTGCGCAAATTCGTGGTGACTCCTCTCTCCAGCGGCCTGGCCTTCCAAATCCCGTGTTGCACGCAGCTCAATGACTCCGGTACATGGTAGCGCCGCGGAAGCAGCACCTCGCGCCAAACATTGCAACGAAAAGAACGAACAAGTCCGAAGGGGAAGGAAGAGAGGATCAATGCACCGAAAGCAAAGAAGAGAACAAACAACTAAATTATTCGCACAACTCACGCACCGCGCTGGCAGAAAAACGGGGTGGGACCCAAGCAAAATCCATGGCCATGAACAATTGAACAACTCATCCTGCATTAGCGCCTCCCAGGGAATCTTGAGCAGAGCCCGTCTGATTGGTCAGACGGCGGCGACAGCAATGCGAACCCTTGTCACAGAGCTGGGAGTGGAATGGCAGGATGGATTGGCAGCCGAAGAGCTGGAGGGGTGCACGGGGAAGTGGGTGGGATGTTGCGATGGGGATCGGGACGGTATGCAATGAGGGTTTGTGGCGTTGGGGATGGTGGGTGTGGCGCTGAGGGTGAGGGGTGGGGTGGGGTTAGGGTTGATGGGGTTGAGGTACAGTACTTGATGTTACGTTTGTGAGGGACTTTGCACGGAACGCCAATTGTGAGAGGATTGCGTTGCGAAGCATTACATGTTGAAGCATTCGGCAAGATGTAATGTGGTTGTTGGTACTTGATTCCGTCTGGAAGACTCACGCTGCATCATCATCACAGAAGACACAAGTCGCAAAGGTTCTAGTTAGACAGCTTTGGTGATACAAAGAACACACCACCCTCGAGTACATCCCACAAGTACCGTACAAGACGTGCAATGTACCCATCTCACGATGTCAACGGCTGAGCGACCACGCAACGCAAAATCTCATGCGCACTGCTGACCCGAGCAAAGGGCAATGTCTCGGAACCTCTGGAACCAAGAAGAGGCTGAAATGCGTACCCTTGGCGCAGACTCGACAATACATTGCGAAAGCAACAGGCGCAGCAGCTCTCGTGATCCTCAAGAACCACCGTCGGCCGACTAAACTCCCTCCAAAGTCTTACCCTACTAATCAAATCCACCCGAACAACATGCGCAGCACGACATTTTGCCGCACAATTCTGCCATTTCATCTTCTCGAACAAGCTAGAACGCGGATAGCCCATCATCCATCCCCACTGCGCCTCCTCACCCACAATCAGCAGTACCAAAAGCCTTCCCAGCGCACCCAATAAGCCCAAAGCACACATCGTAATCGTCACCAACTTGGCCCTCTCGTCTCCGCTTTACCCGTTTAAAGCCTAGAATTCGGGCCCCAAGCCATACTCCGGGCAGCGTTCTTGGCTGAATTGTGGCTGAGCACCAACGCCCAAAGACACATCATGTCCGTGTTGAGCGGATATCGTCATAAGCAGTCAGCCAGAACCCTGTTCTTCCTGCGGATTCGTTCCATCCCATCTCCGTCGCATCTTTCTGAACTTCTATTATTTCCAGCATTTGAAACCATCGTCGCATATCGCTATAACACACAGATTTGAATACCCATCATGGTAGACCTTGAGATCGCGCATCCCCACCATGTTCCCTATCGTACGAGACAGTACTACGGGCCAGATTATGGCGACAGGTACGTTTTCATTCCATGCGCTCATCATCGTCATCCTCCATCTCTCCTTGTCCATCATTCGCTGCAAAGTGGCTGTGCGACACACTTTAGCTGTGCAGCGGCGCAGTTAGTCCATGAATTTTCTGGGGAAAAGGCACGCTTGGTGGATCAACGGATCGGCTTGGTCCCGGCTTCGCGTTGGTGCAGACGGGTGTTTGCGACAGACGACGTCACAACGTCACTGCGCCCAGCCTGGCGCCCGCATCACTCGGCATCTGCGTACTGCTAGAATGGCCTGCCTTGCGTGTGGCCCTTGCCACGGAGTTTCTTGGTCATAATACGCTGCTTTCGTTCTTCTCTTACTTTTGTTCTTCAACCACTCGAACCCACTACGCCTCTCAACACTCCACTTTTTGCGCTTTTGTACCAAGGACACTTGCGCATCGCGTTACTGTCAATTGATCGAGAGATATTGGAGACGCGACACACAAACACACGAACATCGCTTCTAACACGCCATGGCTAGGACGTGCTATAGCAACAGCCGGGGCTACTACCGCTGCAACTCAGCATGGAATAACTGGGTTCGCTGGGTCGTCCTCGTAGTCGTCGTCTTGGGCTTCCTACTCCTCTTCGTACTATGCTCGTAAGTCCCCCGTTCATCCTTCCCCCAACCAACCCTCCCTTCCCTTCTCCAATCGCCATCCCCAACCCCCATCCACCCAACACACCACTAACACCCCACAGCTGCCTAACCGCCCGCCGCCGCCGCAAAGCCGGCCGACAGCCCTTCTACGGCACAGGCTGGGCCGCGCGCCCAGGCAACAACAACGCATACGGCCAAAACACCACCGCACCCTACTACAACAACCAACACAACCCCGCGCCGCCTTACTCCGCCGCTACCAATAACAACAACGGAGGTTACTACGGCGGCGGAGGCGCAAACCAGGGCTACTACGGTCAGCAAAACGGCGTCGAGCTGCAGAGTCCGCAGCCAACATATGGAGGCGGGTATGCGCCGCCACCAGGCCCGCCGCCGACAAAGGGTTAAGCGTTGTACGGTAGATGATGAGAAGGCCCCTCGGAGATTGAGATGGGGTTGGATGGCGTTACGGAGATTGTGAGAATTGGCCTGCGTTACGATATGTGATGAACGAGCGAGGAAGGGACAGGACGGTTTCCTTTGCTGTTGAACACGCTTGATACCTCTTTTACGCTTTAATGCTATTATTTATCTTCGGTGTAAATGCGGAAGATGTAATCTACTATTATACGTTTCACCAAAACAGCATACAGCATAACCTGCTTATAAGACCTGTTTCGTGCGCATGTCTTGCTCGTTATGAAACACACGGTTGGACAATTCAGCTGGCCCAACACGACACTTCATCATCAATTATTGATCGCGTGCGTTCAAGTATAAAAGCTGCATGTATTCCATCCATTCATGTTACTCTTGGTCTCCCATTTTCAATACTCTGCGTAGTCCCGTCAACTAATTCACAGGCAACACCAGACCTTCGTAAAAAGAGCATATGAACACGCTAAGCATACACCTTTTCAAACGATTCCTGCAATGCTACCTATTCTCCAGGCCCTGATCTCTCACTCCCAACCAATCTAACCCACCAACCTCAAACCACTGGCCGGCGCACCGATCTGTGTGATGCCGTCGATCCTGCACACAGTGCCCTTGTATCTGGCGTGGTACTTGGCACCGCTGTATGGGCTGGTAACCGAAGGCATGCCGCTGTAGATAGGTGTGAAGCTAGCAGCGCAAATGTCAAAGTCGGCGAATTGATCAAAGTCGATTTCGATGACGTCGCTGGGGTTTCTCTCGGCGACCGTCTTGACGCGGTTAGCTTGCTCCTTCATCTTGGCGTTGCCGGTGCGGTCGAGCAAAGCGTTTGCAAAGTTCAGCGCCGTGTTGAGCTGCTTGTTCTTGTGGGCAAACATCATGGCTGCTGAGAGAGGGATCGAGTTGTGGGGACCCTCGAGGTCGGGGACGGTGAAGTAGGCAGAGAGTTCGAGGGCGCGCTTCTTGTCCGCGTCGGAGAGGGCGGAGATGTCGGTAGCGCCGTTGAGCAGTTTGCGGCGCTCCAATTCGATGGACATGGCAAGGATGTATTGCGTGGCCGTGTTGATCGCCTTCTTAGCCTACATCAATGTTAGTATGCGTTGGTTAGATGAATGTCTCTGAAACTTACATCAGAAAACTCAGCTTGGGATGAGACGACGTTGACCATGATGAGCTGCAATAGGCTCTTGAGGACTGCGACACCCTCCTCCAATTTGTTCTTTTGCAAGAACTGCTTGCCAGCGGTCAAGTCTGCCGATAATGACGACTCCAGATCGCGTGGGATGATGGGCAGGATCTTGCGAGAATCGGTCTCGTCCACTGTTCTCCGTACGTAGTTGACCAGCGAAGGCATATTTGGTGTCGCTGGCAAGTATGTTCGCGTGGCTTGGTAGATCTCTTGGAAGCGCTCTTCGAGAGGAGCGAAGTTGACAGCACCAACCTGTCGGTTCAGTAACTGCATGGCAGTGTCGAATGATCCAGCAGCGATGTGGTCCGCCGCCAAAGGCGAGTTGCGTGCCCAGAAATCAGCCTCGCTGCTTCCTGCACCAGCATCAGCACCCTCAACTTCAACGAAGTCGTCGTCTGCCTCCACATCGCCATCATCACCCATGTCCCAGCCACCGATATCGTCGTCCTCGCCACCAAGTTCAGCAGCCGCACGGGTAGGCTCGGCGTCGCCCATAAGATCCTCATCGCCAAAGCCGTTTGCTGTTGGCTCTTCGGGTCCAACGCCTTCGACTTCGCCTTGGAGGGCCTTCTCAAATACAGTCGAAGAAGCTGCGTGCGTTGGCCAGTTGGCTTTGTGAGTTGGCACGATAGGCTTAGCAGGCGCCGAAGGAGCACCTATTGAGGGAAGGTTAATCTGCTCCTCCGAGACACCGGCAGCTTCCAGTATTGACTGTGCCTGTTCGTCGAGACCTTGTGCCTTGGCAGTGGCATACGCGAGGGGGTATAGATCGAGCTCCTGGAACATCTCTATCCGGTTTTGTACGTCTCCCAGATAGAGCGCGTTCTGGAATCGTGCCGTCATGTCACCGCGGTGCTCCGCGATCTTAGCCATGCGCTTCAGCTTGTCCTGGTCTCCGGTAGTGAGGTACAGGAAGGATAGCTTGTCGAAGTTGCGCAGCTTCTGGTAGGTCATCTCTACGGTTTGGTGGTTGCCGTGTGCGAGAGCTTCGGTGCTTAGCCGTTGCCAGAGCTTTGGTCGGTCAAGCTGCTTAGCCATCTCAACAGCAACCTCCAGGTTGCCGCATTCGATAGCGAGCTCGAACCGTGTCTGAGGATCCTGCACGAATTGGAGAGCAATCTCGGGATAGCCCTTCTTCTGGAGGTAGGAGATGATGCTCTGTCCAACAAGACTTGAAGTCTTGATGATGTTAAGCATCTCGTCGTAGTTGCGCTTGACAAGGGCGAGCTTGAATCGATATTCAGTGGGGTCGATTTGGAGAATCTTGGGCTTCGCAGCACGGTCCAGGCAGTATACGTTGCGACCCTTGACTCTTACAAGGTATACTGTTTGCTCCAATGTGCGTACTATACCATTGTCGCCGTTCATTAGACTGTACTTGATGTGGTTCAGCGTGGAATACAGAAGGACACCCGTGTCATCGAAGATTGCACTCTTGATCCGGATAGTCTCGTGCAGAGTGCTGACTTGCTCCAGGTTCTTGTTTGCAATGGTGACATTGTGTTTGCTCAGCAATGCGACGTGGAGTCCGTCAGATGACCAAACGACGTACTTGACGCCGTTAACAGAGAGCTCAGCAAGGTTCTTCTTGGCCTGGATGTCGTAGAGAACAACGGAAGTAGGGGTGATCAAGAGCAAGTTGCCAGTGCCGCCAAAGTAGATGTCTGTGGTTCCGTGCGGGGGCTTAATAGTCTTAGTAGTGGAGTTACTGAGATCCTTGATGTCGATCTGCTGGTTAGACTGGTTGAAGACCGCAAATCGATTCCTAGCCACGAATACAGCGGAGCTACCAGATCCGCGCTTGGTGTCGGTCGGTTCTACCGCTCCTGAAGCGTCGCGCGGAAGGCTGATCAGCTCATACGTTCCGCTGTCGGCTGGAGATGTGACCAAGATCGAGCGTTCGGCAGGGTTGTAGGACAGTGTTCGTGGAGGTACCCAGGCGCTTCCCAGCTTCTTGAGAGACAGCATCGATGGGGATTCGATGTTCTTCTGGAAGTCGTAAGACCGTACGTGCTTCTCCTTCGTTATGTAGAAGAGGTTGTTCTGGTAGACGGCGGACGCGGGCCGCTCGCGTTCCAGCTTGAATACCATGACACCGTTGTCGTGACCGGCAGCGAACAAGTTGATCTCAGGATGGGCTGCGATGACCCAGAAACGGTCGTTTTCCCGCTTGAAGGACTGAACCGATGTACGCCTGTTGAGATCCCATACGCGAATCGTCTTGTCCTCTCCAACGGACAGAATCAAATCCTGGTGTGGGTGGAACAGACACGCAGACGCGTTCTGGAAGTGTCCTCGGCAGGTATCAACCTCCCATGCCTTGGTTTCTGACATCCTCCACAGCTTGACGAGGCGATCATCACCAGCGGAGACGATCAACGGGAGCGTTGGGTGGAATGCGACCCAGTTCACACCTCGGTCGTGACCTTCAAGAACGAACTTGACAACCGCGTCCGTGTTGCCGAACATATCCGCCTGATTCTGGTTCGCGCGTGCCATCTGATCCTCGAATGACATAGCTTGTGGTGCCGAGTGCTTCTTCCTGAGCCCAGAAATATCCCAAACGCGAACCGACTGATCGAGGGAGGCGGAAACGATGAGGTCTTCCTTCGGGTGGAATTGCGCGCACATGGTGTAATGGTTGTGACCGGTCATAGTACATACTTCGGAGGGTTAGGTGTGTCTTTGCGAGGGATGCGAGGGACTTACTCAGTGAACCTATAAACGTTAGTTGCGTACCAAAGAGCAATTGAGGATGTCACTTACGGTTCTGCCAATTCCATATACGAATAGTCTCTGATTCGTGTTAGCCATTGCACATCCAACTCATAGCATGCGCTTACGGTCGTCGGAACTACTCAATATCCATGGCAGCTCGTGGTGGAAGAAGACGGTCCGGACATAGTCCAAATGGCCGTTCAATGTGAAGAGACATCGCCGAGTCTGGTATGACCAGACCTTGATCTTGTAGTCGTCGCCACCAGACACGAATCTGTGCAGTCTCAGTATGTTGCTGGCCCTCCCAAGGTGTCGGGATGCTCACAATGGCTGGGTCTTGTGGAAGTCAACGCCGCGGACCGGCCCGTCGTGTTCTTCGAAGCGATCTATAAGAGTACCCATGCGGTAGTCCCATAGTTGGATGGTCGACGAGTGTAGCGACACCAGGATCCATGGCCTGGGAGCGGTCAGCGGGGAAGGGAGCCGCGTGGTAAAGGTATGAGCTACCTCTTGGGGTGAAAGGCAATGCCTTTAGCACGCGAAGACTTGGACTCAAACTGCCCGGAATTAGCTAGCTACACGGTCGCACAGATGAGAGCTGCTTGCCTTGGTCAACATCGAGGGAGAGGAGGCCATGGCGGAATTGGGGACGAAGCCGCAGCTTCACTGTCGTCTAGAGTGGCCTCAATGCAAGAGACAGCAGGCGCGAAGGGATACGGGTATAAGGTAAGAAGAAAGAAACACGGTGTTGACTATTATCTTTGGTATTGCTGCCTGCGTGAGCTGCTCTTGCTAATGTTCGATATGCCACGCAACATTCGGATTAACCGCCTAACCGTCCTGGTCTCTAGCGCGCTTTCCCCACCAAGGTCACGTGAGATCTGCCAGACATCGCCTCAACTCCGTCTGAAGCGCCCGGGGCCTGTTTCAATTTCAAGCGAACCTCGAGTTCCCACACTAGTTGCCGTAAGGCAGAGCCTCACTTCCTGACGCTGCCTCATCTCAATTTCGCCGCCGCTGCGTGGCTCGGCTCCCCTGGTCTGGCGTCCTGCAACGATGCCCCGCAGAACTCACCAATGCGACTCCGTGTGCCAGCTGGCATCGTAGTGCCAACCCTACCTACCCGCCCTGTGCAGGACAATTTTGCTCGCTGACCTCATTGGGCATCCATCCTGTCTGACGCAAGGTAGATTGCCCGAGTCTCTGTTGCGACTAATCGTTCGTAAACACGCAGCATCGGAGTCATGGAGGAAACCGATGCAGCGCATGCAAAGGGCAGCAATGCTGCAGACCCGCTCCGTGGCCGGCCAGCTCATCGCTGAAACGCAGGTGATAATTGGCGACAGCCCGCACACATTTCTGTCTCTGCAGGGAATTCATACCTCCTCCAGTACTCTTCTTCCCCTTTAACGTTCCCATTCGATCACCACAGACGCATCGCATCCGAGCTGACCTGCACTTTGTGGCTGTTACCGATCTGCGAGCTACGCTACCTGCATTGCTGCCTATAGTACTCCAATTCTACCTGCACGATAAGCCAAGGCGTTGCAGGGTTCGACTTGTCAAAACTCTCCACCTCTCCGCTCGAGCTCGCCGCTCAGATATCCCAGTAAAACACTCCCGGGCCACCTCCAGAATGATACAGTCGACGCAACTCCTCTTCCGTATTTCAAAGATTAGACACGCCTGTCGGACTTTGATCCCTTAAGAAGTCAGCACAAATACCTGAGAACATCATCGATACGTACGCGATCGCAATTGGCTGCAAGCAAGCCTGACGCAACTTTCCCCGTCAAATCACCACGACACCCTCCTGGCCATGGCAACACACCACGAATTGCCAGCCGCTGCGCTCAACGGCCATCCGCAATCACCACCCATGACGCCTACTCCTCATACCATTAGTCGCTTCCCGCCACCAAAATTCCAAACCTCTCCAATACATCGGCGCGTAAGCAACTTCATCCAGACACCTCCCCTGGAGTACATTGAACCGATCGGACACGACCATCACTTCAGCTTCACACGCCCGCAATCGTGCCCGGCATCTTCGCGTCTGTCGTCAGAGTCCGACAGAGCTTATCCGGCAACAACGTTGGAGGGATCCGAATACGAGACCGACTCTGAGGAGGATTGCGAATCGGATCAAGAAAGTGAACAAGAAGAGGAGATACCGATGCGTCGGGTAGAGAAAGCCCAATTCGTACTCGAAGAACTGGATAGCGATCCAGGCTACGACTGTGACGTAGAGGTAGTGCGACCAGACCATTGCGAAGATGCAAGGAGCGAACGGAGCGGCACAAAGGCAGCGATATTCGCCAGAATGAACGAGCTACAGCTCGAAGAAGACACTTCAGAAGACGAGGAAAGGGAGCGGATCTACCTGAAGAAGAAGAAACGATGGAGCGCAGGCATCTTCAAGCGCAGCCACAGCCAGAGCGTGGAAGGAGACAGCAGTTACTCCGACGATGACCCTCTCGATGACAGGGACCAGAACGCTCGCCGACTGCGCCGCCGCGTCCGAGGGCCTAGAAGAGGCTCGCTTATCTTCGAAGACCGTGGCTTCTCGAACACGAATAACATTGCGGAGGTTGAGGAGCCTGACGAAGGCAGGGTGCTACACTCCAAGGGACCGCCATCCATCCCTAGTGATGACGCCTTTACTCTAGACGAACTTCCGTTCTGGGGAGGGCACAACATGATGGACATGGAATTTGAGTCTGACCAGGTGTCAGAATTATGATTGATGAATCTTAGAGGCCACTACCATGACCTTACGGCTGTTTTCTTAGCTCATTGCGTTCACGAGCGACACGCTTGCTGTCGATTGTTGGATTTAGCGTAGCGTACTATTTTCTGAATGCATCTGTTTTTACCTGCACATTGCTCAGCACCTGCCAGACTGTAAGACATGGTCTAGATGCGAGTTTGAAATCCACCAGCGTCTAAGGCTCTAAGCTCTGGCTTTGTTGCAGTTTGTTCTTAGAGACGCGTTGGTCTCGCGAGTCAGTGCGGGCTAAACTTAGCCATCCTTAGGTAAACAGAAGGCCCACCTGCCCAGGCGTCAACGGCGGAAGCTGACGGCCATTCGCACGCGACCAAATCCACGCACGCCAACTATCAGGCAACACGCATTCACGAAGGACGCGGATAGTCGCACTTCCGCTGTTCTGCGCCGAGTCGAATGACCTCAGTCACATCACGCAGCTCATCTCGCGCGAGACTACCCCAAGGCTAGCCTCACTATAGACGTTTACCGGTAGTTTGCACACGCATCATCAACCCTCCGCACGGTCAACTTTTCTAGCCGTTTCAGCTTCATCAGCGCAAGCGTCAAGAAGTAATTTCCATCCTTTGTCCCATCTATTTCGTGCAAGCGACGCCGTGACGCCGAAATACACCGCCCCCACAAGATCCACGCCCCATCAGCGCTCCCGCTGTAAGGCTGACGGACCGCCAGACACAGTCGCACCGACTAGGGATGCCAGCCAATGATTATTCTTGACCCGCGGATGTCTAAGCATATCGCATCCCTCGCTGAAGAAAGTACACAATTAGTCGGCAAGCGTCAACACCGTACTGTACAGCCCTCCGGAATCGTGACTTCCGTCCAGGACAGCTGATGGGTGCTGGTAAGACGGATGAGAACAATGGAGGTATAAGTAAAGCAGTGTAGAACACCCAGTTGGAGAATCATCTCCTTACACACAACCAGAAACTCATACTACCATCTCATCTTTTCCTCTTTACTTTCCATTATCTCCTTGTTTCTTTACTGTCTATCCAAGCCTTCGCTTCTTAATCAGTAATCATGTTCACCATCACCAACATCGTCGTTGCTTCGCTTGCTCTTGGTGCTGTTCAGGCACTCCCTCAGCACATCCATGCGAGACAGGACAATGCTACTTCCACTCCTGCCGCCCCAGCAGTACCTGTTTCGACGCCTGACATCTTCGACGACCTCCTCACTGCTCCTACAGCCATCAAGCGTTTCCAAAGGCTTTTGACTGTGGGAGAAGGCCCTGAAGGTCCTGAGCTCCTGAAGGGAGACGACCTCCGCAAGGCGACCGTCTTCACTTTCGACAGGAATGCGAAGCCTGCTCCTGGCGCAGAGGGTGGCGTTGCCGTTGCAGCCGTAAGTCTTTCATTCCCTCAAGCGACAAACCTTATACTAATCCCCTCACCAGAACATCGGAAACTTCCCCATCTTAACCGGTCTCGGCATCTCCACCACCGTCGGTTTCCTCGAGCCATGCGGCATCAATACCCCCCACGTCCACCCGCGCGCCACGGAGATGCTCACCCTCGTCGAAGGCGAGAAGATGGAGTTCGGTTTCGTCCTAGAAAACGCCCTCGTCGGACCCAAGCAGAACCCAGAAGTCGCAGGGTACCTCAACGCATTCGAGGCCACAGTCTTCCCTCAAGGCTCCATCCACTACCAGTTCAACAACAACTGCAAGCCAGCGACTTTTGTGGCAGCGCTCAACTCCGAGGACCCTGGTACTAGCCAGATTGCGCAGAACTTCTTTGCTCTTAACTCTGAGGTTGTTGATGCTACCCTTGGTTTCCCGGTAGGTTACATTGTTCAGAATGGTGTGGAAGTTATGCTAACGTGTTTTGAAGGGTCAAATCAACAGCAAGAACATCGACGAGTTCGGTGCTTCGCTTCCTGCCAACCTTGCCCGTGATGCTAGAGCCTGCATGGCTAAGTGTGGACAGTAAATCCACTGGGAAGTCACAACACGTTGAAAGAGAGACTCGGGGGGTTGTAATATGACGGGACGACATCTTCGAAAGCAGCATACATAGCGACGGCGCGATTTAGATTCACCGAACGATTGGTGGGCATTGGTTATTGGTTTTACTTCTTTGTGGATTTACCTTGGACTTATCTGTTATTGAGCTATACACTCCTTATGCAAGCGAATAGAAAACACTTGTTTATCAGAGCTACTGCATTTTGTCATGCGTGAGTGTTCCGGTTGGCAGCCACACATGTGGCACAGCAACTGGACCCTGGAAATGTTATTTTGGTGACTGTTCCCGGCCCCGCAACGACTCATCCAGTTGGGCGCAGGGCGCAAGACACACCAAACCACTCGCACGCTTCGACTGAGCTCGATATAAACGGCTTCAAAACGCTGTTTTTACTCAATTACTTTCCTACCGGTCTCAATCCAATTGGCACACCAGCTGCCCCTCATACCCCACCAAGGCCGACACAATGGCAGACCCCGCGGCAATCCAACAGGAGATCGCGGACATTGAGAAGAGAATCGAAGAAGCGCAGACACAACTCAAGGATGCAAAGTCAAGATTACAAAAAGCCCAGGCGGCTTCCTTCGTCAACCCCGGCGCGAACATGTCCGAGGAAGAGAAGATGGCGCTCATCAAGGTCAACCTGGCCGAGGTCTTGAATCCAGAGATCATGGACGAGGCGCTGAAGAAGCAAGGACACTTGAAGGTTTACTGGGGCACTGCGACAACAGGACGGCCACATTGCGGTTACGTATGTTGACATGGCGAGATACGGTCGCGTGCACTGCTAACGATGTATCTAGTTCGTACCTATCCTCAAACTCGCGCAATTCCTCGCTGCAGGGTGCCACGTCAAGATCCTGCTCGCAGACATCCACGGCTTCCTCGACAACCTAAAAGCGCCCATCGAGCTCGTCAAGTTCCGCGCAGAATACTACCGCTACACCATCACCGCATTGCTCAAGGCCGTCAAGGTGCCAATCGACAAGCTAGAGTTCGTACTGGGATCGAGCTATGAGTTGAACTCGGACTACACCATGGACCTGCTGAGACTAGCGAGTATAACAAGCGAGGCAGCAGCGAAGAAGGCCGGCGCGGAAGTCGTCAAGCAAACCGAGAACGCGCCCTTGAGCGGCCTCATCTACCCACTGATGCAAGCTCTCGATGAGCAGTACCTCGACGTAGATGTCCAATTCGGAGGCGTAGACCAACGCAAGATCTTCGCGCTCGCAAAAGATGTACTCCCTAAGATCGGCTACAAGGAGCGCGCCCACTTGATGAACCCCATGGTTCCCGGTCTGCAAGGAGGAAAGATGAGCTCGTCCGACCCAGACTCCAAGATCGACGTCCTAGACGACGCAGACGTCGTAAAGCGCAAGCTCAAGAAAGCGCACGCGGCGCCCAAGATCGTCGAAGAAAACGGCGTCCTCAGCTTCGTCGAATACGTGCTCCTGCCCGCCAGCCACCTCAACTACGGTGAGCCCAAATTCGTCGTAAAGCGTCGCGACGCCGAACCCCTTACCTACACCGATATCAAGAAGATGCAAGAAGACTACGCAGCCGACATTCTCACACCCCAGGATCTCAAGCCCGCAGTTACGGAGGCGCTCAACGCGCTTCTTGAGCCCGTGCAGAAGGAGTTCCAGGGTAACCAGGAGTGGAAGGATATCGAGCAGAAGGCTTACCCGCCGCCGCCAGTGGTCAAGAAGGAGAAGAAGGTTAAGAATAAGGGGACTTTCCACCCGAAGCAGAGGAATGTGGAGGCCAAGCCTGATGGGCATGTTGAGGGTGAGGATAAGGATAAGGTTGATGTTGGGACTGAGGGTGGGGAGAAGGCTATTGAGGGGCTGAGTTTGGAGGAGAAGAAGTAGATGAGTCGGATAGATGTTTCGTGATACCGTGTAGATGAGCATACTAGTTACGTCCGTCGTTGCATATGCCTACAACACTCTGTTTAGTAGTGTCTGTGAGGATTACATGCTCTGGCTGGTACAAATATCTCGTCCTCCATAGAGCCTAGAGAGGGCTACCGTGGTATTCCACATCCGTCTTCCTGTTCCTCCAAAGCCGCCAGTGCAACTAAAGGCTGCCGACTTCGTACCTTTCCCCCTCTGGATGAATATTTGTTGAAGCAGCTCCATCCCTCTTTCAAGAGTACAACTCCGCCTCGTCCCTCCTCATCTCCATCCCCCCGGCCCCCTCCCCATGCATCCCATGCTCGGGCCTCTTCAACGCAGTCCCCTCCTTCAAATACAAAATCAACCTAAACGCCGCATTCCCATTCAAATAATACCGATGCAGCCTCTTACTCCGTATAAACCCCAGCCGCTCATACAGTTTCAAACTGGCTGTATTCGACACCTCAGTCTCGAGGACGATCTCGTCGGCGTCGCGCGCAGTCATGGCGTCGATGGCGAGGCGAACGAGTTGCGTGGCTATGCCGCGGCCGCGGTATTCTTCTTGCGTGGCGAGCATGGCGATGTAGCCGCGGTAGGTGCCGCTGCGGTGGGGTTCGAGTTTGCAGGTTATTACGCCGATGAGGGTGTTTGTGGGGGAGAGGGCCTGTGGAGGGATGAGGGTTAGACACTGTAAGGTGGTTTGGGGAAGGGGGAGAGCGAAGTACCATGTAGCATAAATCACCCCATTGGTATAAGAAGTACCGGTATACATATATACTGTATGGCTCGGATAGGTCTTTGGAGATTAATTGACGGATGGCGGGGAGGTATTGCTCTTCTTGCGAGGGTTCGTATTGGACATATTGGAGGTCGTCAGGTTCCTTCAGCTGTTTGGTCGAGGGTGCCGCCGTCGCCGTCGCATCAACTGTGACGTCGCCATCTTCATTGCCGGCCATGGCGCGTAGGAAGGAGAGCGATGCGCGTATGCTCAGCCCCTCATAGCGGCCGGCTTGGCCCGCCGTGTCAGGAACGTGCTTTCTCATGCATCCTTGTGCCGATCATTCCGTCACATGCCGAGGTGACGATAACCAAAAACAATCTCGTGGCAGTCGCCCACGCTTTCCCGTACAACCCCGCGGGTACAACTTCCAACGCTTCGTTCATGTCTTTCTTGAGACGCCGCTTCGGCGGTGGCGGCGGCGGCGGCGACGACAGCGAGATTTCGACGCCCGAACTGTCCCGCGAACCTTCTCCCGGACCGGATGGGAAGTTCAAACGGCCTGCCAACTTGCGCCTGATTACCGCGGAGCAGCTGCAGACGCTCAAGAAGAGGGGGCAGCATAAGAAACGGAGGAATTTTTGGGTGTTTGGTCTGGGAGGCATATTCGGGTTGTTGCTGGCGGGCTTCTTTGCGAGCAGTAATGACATGATTGATTTGAGTAGTCTGGAGGGCGTCAACTTGGAGAGCATCATGGAGGCGCTGCCAGACAACTTTGTGAAGAGCGCGCAGCAGATGCAGGTACGCGCGACCTTTGTTTTCTACAGAAGAGGACTGAATGGGAGACCCTGCGCATCGAGTGGAATCGAGGCTGACTGCCCCAACTCAGTAGAAATCAGAAAAAGACGCCGTAAACTACGATTCCTTCGCCGTCGGGCTCCACGCGCAGAAACAAGGCATCAAAGCCAAACACCCCGTTATCATGATCCCCGGTGTCATCTCCACGGGTCTTGAATCCTGGGGCACAGAAGAAGGGTCGAGACAATACTTTCGCAAGAGATTGTGGGGGTCATGGACGATGATGCGCGCGCTCGTCCTCGATAAGGCGCAGTGGAAACGACACATTATGCTCGATAAAGACAGCGGTCTTGATCCACCCGGCGTGAAGCTGCGAGCAGCGCAAGGTTTCGATGCGGCCGATTTCTTCATAACAGGCTACTGGATATGGAATAAGATTCTGGAGAACCTCGCTACCATCGGGTATGATCCAGGCAATGCCTTCACTGCAGCCTACGACTGGCGCATGTCGTACATGAACTACGAGATACGGGACCAGTATTTCACCCGTCTAAAGTCGCACATCGAAGTTGCCGTGCGCGTGTCGGACAGGAAAGTCGTTCTTCTCTCGCATTCCATGGGTTCACAGGTCCTGTACTACTTCCTGCACTGGGTCGAAGCAGAAGGTTACGGCAACGGCGGACCAAACTGGGTCGACGAATACATCGACAGCTGGATCAACATCAGCGGCTGCATGCTCGGTGCCCTAAAAGACATGCCCGCCGTCCTCTCCGGCGAAATGAAAGACACAGCCCAACTCAACGCCTTCGCCGTCTACGGCCTCGAGCGCTTCCTCTCCCGCTACGAACGCGCAGAAATCTTCCGCGCAATGCCCGGTCTCTCCTCCATGCTCCCCCTCGGCGGCAACGCCGTCTGGGGCGACGAGACCGGCGCTCCGGACGACTTACCAGGGCAAAACGTAACTTTTGGCCCCTTTATCCGTTTCCGAAACGCAAACAGCACCATGACGCAGAAGAACATCACTGTAGATGACAGCCTCCCCTTCTTGTTCCGCAACACAGAACCCTGGTTCAAGAAAATGATTCAAACCTCCTACTCCCACGGCGTAGCCCACACGACCAAACACGTCGAGGATAACCAGTTCCTGCCCGCTAAATGGGTTAATCCACTAGAAACCCGTCTTCCCTTGGCTCCAAACCTGAAGATCTACTGTTTCTACGGTGTAGGCAAGGATACGGAACGTGCGTATTATTATCGCAGTGACGATGATCCGTTAAGCGGGTTGAATGTTACTCTGGACACGATGTTTACACAGGCTGAGGGGAACGTGGACCATGGGGTTGTTATGGGTGAGGGAGATGGCACGGTGAATTTGTTGAGTTCGGGGTACATGTGTACGAAAGGGTGGAAGATGAAGAGGTATAATCCCGCCGGTGTGAAAGTGACGACGTTTGAGATGAAACATGAACCTGATCGGTTTAGTCCGAGGGGGGGTCCTAATACTGGTATGTCTTCTTCTTCTATCTCCTTCTCTCCTTTTGTTGTCTGCGCGAACGACGGGTTTTGAGCAAGTGCTGACAATTATCGTGAAATAGCGGATCACGTGGACATCCTCGGTAGAATGTCACTTAACGATCTTATTCTGCAGGTGGCGGGTGGACGGGGCGAGTTGATCAACGATACTATTCATTCCAATATCAGGGAGTACGCCGAGAAGGTTAAGATTTACGAGGAAGAAGACTGAGGCGGTTGAATTTGGTCCGGGGATCATGTATATGAACTAGCGATGACAGCGATGATAATTACGTTGCAAGAAGATGGTGAGGGATGGATGGGTAGGGGCTCCGGCTCAGATCACTTGGTTGATTGATCGATAGCTGGAGACTACGGAAATGATACCATAGACTACTGTTTACCCACTCGCTATACTCTTTACTTTTTAGCGATGCCTTCCCACCCATGAGACTAGATTGGACAAGTGTGTTTTCTTTTATGGCAAGGTAAGAGACGGTGGTGTGCTTAAAGCTAATGTTATTGCTGTGAGGATACTTGGCCTGGTGAATCTGTGTTGGGAGTTTGTTCTCCTTCTCCTTCGTCGTCCACGTCTGCAGTAATGAAGCGATAATGATGGTATTCCTCCTCAACTTCCTCCTCAACTTCCTCCTCAACTTCCTCCTTCACTACCCCACTCTCCTCTCCTCAGACCCAGACTAAAAGTCCGCCTTCCCACCCATAACCTTCGCCGCATTAACCGCACTCATCTTGTTCGCCCAGCCCTGCGCCGGTACAATCTTCCTCACCGTCCTCACCTCATCAGACGCATAACCCGGAATACGGATATTGTAGTTGCGCTCAAGTATAACTTGGATATCGCGGATGTCGAGCTGGGGCGAGTCGCGCAGCTTGCTAAGCTTGCACGCGTTGCTGATGACATTGTCGACAAAGTCGTCGGCGAGTTGCAGGACCGCCTGTGGAGTGGGTTAGATATAGTTGGTTTTGGTGGATCGGGAGAGGGGGACTTACCTCTTCGACTTCTGGTGTTAGGGCTTCTTCTGATCCACCTGTTACCTGCCTCACGAGCTCATCTAGCTTCCGCTTGCTAAGTACCCGATCGCCTTCGCCTTCGAGTTGGAATGGTGGTGGACGCGGGATGACGGGTTGGCCCATGGGTCCTGGCGCGCCATTGGTAGGACCACTCATAGTAGGCCGGGATTGGCCCATGTGGACGGCTTGGGGGGAAGTCACGTTGAGATGGCGAGGGATAGGCATCTTGGGGTTGTTGAGCTGCTCGCGCTCGCGACTGCCAAAGTTGCCGCCTTGTCCGCCTTGCTGCATGGGTGTGTTTGTGCGTTGCGGGTCGGTGTAGGAGCGGTTCGCGGCGCTGACGGCGGCGCTGTGGGAGAGAGGAATTGGTGGGCCGGGCGCGTTCGAGGCGGCGGATTGAGGATGTGGTGAGTTGCTCTGCTGGTGCGCGTTCGCTTGCATGGGGTTGATCTGAGGTCGCTGTTGTTGTTGCTGGTGGAAGTTCTGTTGCTGTTGTCCTTGCGCAAATTGCGGCATCTGGCCTGGAGGCATCGTCTGTGAGTGAGGCCCTGGTGGAGGTCGAGCTTGCTGCTGTCCTTGCTGCATTTGTTGCTGCTGCTGCGGAAGTGAAGGCGGCATCTGCTGGTTGTGTTGTTGATTATGCTGCTGTTGCGGCGGACCCTGCTGGTGGTTTCCCTGGTTTTGTTGCATGTTGAACTGGGGTTGTGGTTGGGGTTGAGTTTGCGATTGTTGTTGGGGTTGGGGTTGTGGTTGTAGTGTCTGTCCGCCCTCAATCTTGATTTGCGGCTCCTCTTTCACTTGGGGCTGCGCGGGCATGTTAGGTTGTGAAGGCTGGCGCTGAGGCGCTTGGGGCTGTTGTTGCGGCGGTTGCTGCTGCTGTTGCTGCTGTGGGGGCGATTGCGCTGTGTTCTGG